CGTCTCAACAGTTCAGAACATTCTTATAGCATTTGCACTCGTTTAAACCATGTCACAGGCATCAGGCAAATTAATCATGCAAAAGCATATTTGAAATGTTGGATGCAAGTGATGCGGGTAAAAGACAGTATATAGATGTGTTTTTTGTTCACAGATGCATACTTTGCTTGAAGAATCATGCCAGATTTGAAACAGATTGCTATGATCTTACAAAAGAATGCATAACAAAGAAAATAAAGCGAACTATAGAGGTAAAAAAGGCTATAACTATAAGTATAAGATGCGATAAGACTAACAGTTTCATTGCTCTTATTTGTGATATGACCTATCGAGATGGTCAGCATCATATATACCTAGAGAAAGACCTGGTTGTTTCGTAAATAACCTTAACCTGGTTAACAGTACTACAGCAAAACAGACCTAACAAGCGACATTGCATTCTGAAAAAAGCTACAGAATGAAGCAAGTTTATCTCCAAGCAGACTAAAAAAGACTCTCAAGCAGTTGCAAACAAAGAATTTTCCTTCCTATCCATATACAAAACCCTTACGCTAATGGGCAAGTAGAATTATTCCAGGATGGATCACAATCATCTAAACATATTTCCAGTAAAGTAGGTTACTTATAGTCACATCCCTGATCAAGAAAACTACAGACAAGATGTTGATTTGCAATAAATCCTAGGACTGTTGGCAGGTAGATTTACTTGTCGTCCAGATCAAAATAATAATAATAATAAGAAGAAATATAGCAATAAAATCCCAAATAAAGTTGTTCAGATAAAATATAGCAAAAAATTAGCCAATACTTGACATAATGAAACCTTTGAAAGTTGAGTTAGGAGCATACAGTGACGTCTGAGAACCCAACGAAGGTATCCAACTCTCCAAAATGAGCCTGTACAGGTGCCTTGACCTGAGTGGGATCAGCAAGTTCTGATGAAGGAACTCCATAGAAAGCAACCACAGCATCAACTTCAGGGATCAAAACACCGCTTGCAATGGATAGTGCACCTCCCATGCAATACCCAGTCACGCCAACCTATTTAACAGAAATATCATCCCAGCATGAAATAGCAATGAACTTGTTCCAATAATAAAAACAAAGTTACAAGCTTTGAAGAATTATATGATGCAACAAATCATGTTGGTCTTTATAAAACCAAAGACATCAAAAATGTATTGAAGGCAGTGAACCATGCCCAGTGCTGCAAACTTAACGCGAAATATACAACTAGGGTACCAAAAAAGTGGGCGACCAAACCCAATTTTGGTTATAAAATTGAATTCGGATCTGAATTTTCAGATCGGGCCAGAATATTAGATGTGAATCTCATTTAATTCGAAAACCTGAAACTCGGCCAAGTGCCAAATATGTAGTTTTATAGTTGTACTCTGAAAATTTTCTGTATATTTTCTTTTGTACCCACTTTAGAAAGTCTGTATGCAGGCTTTGCTCAGATCAACAGCACAGATCTACAGGTTCAACCCCTTTCAGCTCTTCATGTAACAAGAAATAAAAAACAAAAGAATTTGAAGATAGATATAAAACAAAAGACAGTTCAGAAGGCTTCATACATGATCTAATTGATAAACTCCATACGGCCTACCAAGAAAAACAAATATTTTATGATAAAAAGATTGTTTAATAAAGCATTCTAAAACATGTCTCCGAGTTACTTCCCTCAGAATCTACTGCCTAACTCTTGTTCAACGACCTTCAAAATGACCCAGTGATACAAAGCTACATATGAAACGAGAATGTCACTGAGTGAAAGGGAAAGTTTCTCAAGTTTTCTATGTTTTCTAATTTCCATTGTTATTTCTCATATCCTACAGTAGGTATCTTCAACTACTCGCCCTCTCTTAAGAGAAAGAACCTTTATAACCATCAACCAATGCTATAAAAGGGTAGCCCGGTGCACAAGGCTCCCACCATTGTGGGCTTTGGGGAGGGTCAGATGTACGCAGGCCCCCCCCCCCCCCCCTACCCCCCAAAAAAATTATGAAGAACGTTTCTAGGATTTGAATTCATGACCTCTAGGCCACAAGGCAAATCAACCAATGTTATAAGCATGGTGAATTTTGTTTTCAAGTTGTAATACAAGAGGCCAAAATAGATTCGATCATCAGGTTGGTGCTAAATTGGATATTTAGGACCTATCTAATAATAATGTTCCCAGTCAAGGACGGGAAATATCTATCTCATTTTAAGAACCAAAAACAAATAGTTCAACACATGATAGCTGACAAACTAAGCATATGATACCTGGATACTTTTAATCGGAAGCCATACCCGTACCCAACACATACCCATACCCATATCCGTACCCAAATTTTTTGGACACTTCTTGAATATATGCATATGTTTATTGAGGCGTATACTCAATCATATAATACATGTTCTAACTTAAAACACTCCTCATGAACTTCTTGGACGTATATTCTACACTTCACATCTACTTCTTATATAGTATCTCATGTAAATGAAAAAAATAATACGGATCTTATGTAAATTATTAATTTTAATGCATATAAATATGCATAACATACATATAAATAGCCGTGTCCCCATACCCTACCTCTTACAAATTTGTCATGTCCGCAACATACCCGTACCCATGCAACCTAGGTTTTAGCCTAAACAACACTTAGGAATTTCATAGTTGGATCATTAGTGAATTCCCAAACTTTTTGAGGAATGACAATCATCATTTGTTGTTGCACTTGCGCCTTCCAAATTGTGGTTCACTTACCAAGAAGGTTAGTTTTTTAGCCTACTTAATGTGCTTGTGTGCATAATAACCATCAATCACTTTCTACGTTTCGAAGCTACCATGCAAATAAAGAACTTGTAGAGCGTTCATACGAAGTCTAGAGAAAAGATGATAACTTTTTGTAAGAAATTGCATTAAGTTTCTAAATTCAAGTTAAGCCAAATGAGGTGCCTTAACATGACATATACATGTAGAGCATTCTCACTTCAAGTAACAAAAATAAAGACATGCTTCTCGGAAAGAACACTGGAGTGAACAAAAGTAATGTAAGGCAACATAACAGAACCAAACACCTTGACCTTTCTAAATACTCCTGGTTTCTTGCCCATCACTCACAAAGATCTTTCTAAAATCTGGATCTCGATAAAGCCTAAGTATACAACAGTCATCCCGAGGAAGGTTATATGGTGTCCAAGTAGACAAGTTCGCCACCACTACTTAAAGAAGAAAAAGGTTAATAAAATAAAAAAAAAAAGGCAACTGCTT